CTAAGACGGGTTCAATTTTTTTTAATACCCGTGAAACCCGTCCCGCCCCGCCATACAAAACGACGTCGTTTTGTTTATATTATATAGTATAATAAATTAATAATATTAATAAATAAATAAAGTATCTCTAGTATATCAAATACATAAATAAACTAAATTATATTTGCGGAAGTAATTCCTATAAAGATTATGAAAAACTCTAAGAAATCGTAGGAAAAAAACATATATATACAACAATTAACACACGGCAAAAAAAAAAAGGAAGAAAATGGTGTTGAATGGAGCTGAATGACTTTGGTTATGCTTGAAAATGCTATATTTATTTTATGTAAATTTTGTCTTTTAAGTTCTGAATTAGTTATTTTTAGTGTTATAATGGATTTTATGGTTAAGACTTGTATTAAATTTTATTTACTCTTGACATTTACATTATTTATGTTTGCTTTCAGTATAAGATTTTAGGTTTTTCATTTTAGTTTTTAATTATTCTTCCGTAAAACTTATAAATCATATAAAAAAAATGGTTTAGACGATAACGAGTTTCGACCCGTAAATGTTGGGTCCTACTATAAATCCGTCATGGACCCGCCTATCGTAAACCCATTGAAAACCCACAAGTTTGGTTCTTCATAATCAAGAACCGTTGTTTGACGGGACGAGGGTGAGTTTTGATAGAACCCGCGGGTTTATGACCCGTGCACACCCATATATATATATATATATATATATATATATATATATATATATATATATATATATATATATATATATATATATATGTATATATATATATATGTATATATAAATATCTCTCTGTATGTGTACGTGTGCGCGCGTGCGCGTGCGCCTGCACGCACCCTCAAAAAACTTACATCTTTGTCTCACTTGCTCTCTCTCTCTCTTTCTTTTTTCTCTCTCTCTCTCCTCCCTCCCCCCACCCCCCACCCCCGACCACAAAATATAAAGAAAAATAAAAATATCTCGAAGTACTACCGATTGATTGAAATAAAGATAAACACGCACGCGTATGTGTATGTATACATAAATATATATATTCATTATCTGTCCACGTGCATACATGTATATATGTTTGTGTTTTTTTGTGTTTGCTGTGAACATGTGCGCGCACGCGCGTGCGAGAGACACACAGACAGACACACACAAACAGATAAATATGATTTATGATTTATATGTCTCTAGCGAGAGAGCTCGAACGCACACGCACGCACGCGAGATTGTGAGCATCACTCAAATACATATATCTCTCTCTCAGTGGGCGTGTGTGAGTAAGAAAAAAAAAAAATATATGTGTGTGTATA